CATGTTAAATAAAAGCTTATTATTAAAAAAATATTTTTTTTACATTACTTTATTTTCTAATTTTTAGTCCATTTATAAAAGCGTTGTATATTAACCCTCTAGTAGGCAGAACCGCCTCCAGACGGTCGTTAACTAAATACCTTTTTAGTGCACCTATAATAATTTTTTTTCTATATTCGTAAGGCACGATCTTTAGACAAACATCGTACCCTTACGGCGAAGTAAATTTTAATCCGTTATGTCAATCCGTTTTATTTTAATCGGCAGTTGAATTACAGATTTTGAAAACGAGGTTAAAATTAATTATTTCTTGCTATTTAGTAATTTCGTAATTAAAGAAACTTTTTCTTTTGAAAAATTTTTTGATATAAAAAAATTCGGTGGATTTCGTTGTTAAAAGCACCGTATTTTAATATAAGTTTTATAATTATGTCACCATTCGAAATGGAGAAAATTGCTTTCGAACACAGACCGTCTACAGACCGGCTTGCCGACATATAAAACCCCAGTTTTGCATTTTTGACCGTCTGCGGACGGCATTGCCGGTTCGTAGGTCAACATTGTGTAAGAGAAAGCTGAAAATATGTGTAAGTATATCGGCGAGCCCGTCTCCAGACGGTCTTGGGTTTTCTCCCCTGTAGGAAAAAGTTACTGTCACAGATCGAAATGGACATCAGTTTTGGATTTCTCGTGCTAAAATCACCCATTCCTGAATTTTTCAACTCATAAAAAGTTGGCCTACTAGAGGGTTAAATAGTTTTATTTTATTTTATGTACAAAATTTTGCAATAGATATTAAAATAATTCAACTTGCAATGAAAGAGAACAGAAGACTATGCAANGTACGTACATACATATAGCAGCAGTTAATTTCATTTAAAGAAATGGCGTGTCGTCCACTTCCGCTGTAGCATGGCATATATTTAGGCGCAATATTAAAGTTCTTCTGGCGGGGAAACTTCTCGAGTCTTCTAATTGTATCTCCTTGATATGATGCCTACAACGAGGTTCATATCTAGACTAGGTTGATATCTAGAATTTGCCATAAATAGCTTTGCTCTGGTTTTACGTTCTTTGGCAAATTACGCCCTGTTAGCCATAAATTTTACTAATTTTTGACCGACTTTGAATCAAGACCCCTGGACCATATAGGGAATTCATTTATATTTTAAATTCCATTGTCATCGTGATTGGAACTATGCTGAAAATTTCAAGTCTCTAACTTGTCGGGAAGTTAGTTAAAATCGATTGGAAATTTCCACGATTTGCGCGGGATGACCAAGTTAAATAAAAGCTTATAAAAAGGTTTTATCTTAACAGCGGTTGTCCCTCGGCAGGCAATGGCAAACCTCCGAGTGTATTTCTGCCATGAAAAGCAGCTTCTCATAAAAATACAATCGCCGTTCGGAGTCGGTGTAAAACTGTAGGTCCCTCCGCTTTGTGTGACAACATCAAGGCGCACGCCAAAAAGCGGAGGAGAAGCTCGGCCAAACACTAACATGTGTGTAAGCGACAATCGATAATCCTATAGCTTTCCGAAAAAAATTTTATGCGACTGGCAAGAGTAACCAAAACTAGCTTTTGTATTAAAATTTTGACAAATAAAGTAAACGTTACGACTCTTTTTTTACATGTAAAGTATATTTTGCGTCCGAACGCTTGAAAAAAAGCACAATTTGTAATTTAACTTTGGACCGTTCCTAATATATTTTTACGTTGTTTTTGTTGTAAGGCTTACAGAACATAAGGTGTACTAAATTTTCGAATACATTTCCAATTCTTTTTAATCGTGTGCTATAATTATGAAGGATTTCTGGAAGGAATGGTTTCTCCGAAAAGAAAGAAAAATTGAAAGTGTAGTTGGAAAGCCGCAAATATCTTGAAATGGAATGGACCAATTAGTCTAATATTTTGGTGGATGAAAGACAAAATATGTAGTTTGTAGATTGGCATCTATAAACTAGGTCCAGGCAAAATTCTATTTTTTTGGTCTTGGTTGACACTTTTCAGGAAACACCCATATGCAGAATGTGGATGCGAACTTCTTCAGCTTGCATTTCTATGTTTATTTCATTTATCAGTTTAAGTACATAAGGTAACAAGTAACAAGTAAGAAAGTCTAAGTTCGGGCGGAGCCGAACATTAAATACCCGGCGCAAGTATTAAATATATGTTTTTTCACCTTTGCGAAACCTTCCGCTAGATGGTAAGCCGGGGTGTATCAATTTTGAGTAAATTAGCGTCCTTAAATTTCGTCATATGAAAAGCGGCCGTAATTTTAGTCCGATTTCAATAATTTTCAACGTTTTTCTTTTATGTGGCAAGAACAATAACCATACCGAGTTTGGTACAAATTGGTAGAACAGTTACCGATATACATATATGTGATCATAAGTGGGCGGTGCCACGCCCATTTTCCAAAATTTTACCATAAACGTATTTCTTGGTAAAGAATTGT